CAGGTCAGGACATAGAGACCATTCTGGCCAACATGGTGAAACCCTGTCTACTAAAATACAAAAAATTAGCCAGGCATGGTGGCATGCACCCAGCTACTCGGGAGGCTGAGGCAGGAGAATTGCTTGAACCTGGGAGGCGGAGGTTGCAGTGAGCCGAGATTGTGCCGCTGCACTCCAGCCTGGCCAGAGCAAGTCTCCAACACACACACACAAAAGCTCACTCTGGGTACAATGTGAAGGGTGAGTTGCAGTTTAACAAGGCACCAGTCAGAAAAGCTACTGCAAGGAGTTGAGGCAGGAGATAATATTGGCTTAACCAGAATAGTAATGAAGCGGAGAGAAATGGAAAATTAGGGAGAGTTGAGAAGGAAAAACTGACAGGGCTTTCTAATGGCTGTAGGAGGTAAAAGAGAGAAAGGGGCTAAGTATAATACCCATATTTCTGGTTTACAAAACTGGGCTGACGATACCATTTAGAGATTAGAAACATAAAAGCTGGTAAAATAGTTTACTTTGGAATTTTTTAGATGTTTTGGAACATTCAGGACAGATATTTTGAAGGCAGTAAGATATGTGGATTTGTAGTCAGAACTGGACTAGAAATTTGCATGAGGAGTTACCAGTGTATACATTAGGTGGCTGAAGCCATGGAGGTGAACGAGACCACATGAAGGAGAATGAAAAAGTACGAACAGGGCCAGGTGTGGTGGCTCACCCTGTAATCCCAGCACTTTGGGAGGCTGAGGCGGGCAGATAGAGGTTCAAGACCAGCCTCCCTAGCACGGTGAAACCCCGTCTCTACTAAAAATACAAAACTTAGGTGGGTGTGGTGGTGAGTTCCTGTAATTCCAGCTACTTGGGAGGCTGAGGTAGAATTGCTTGAGCCTAGGAGGCAGAGGTTGCTGTGAGCTGAGATCGTGCCACTGCACCCCAGCCTGGGCAACAGACTGAGACTGACAAAACAAAACAATTACTACAACAAAACGTGAGATAGAAACCAACTGCACACACGGTGAGGTTCATGCATATTTGACAGCCAGAAGGGGTCCCAAAAGGTAAAATACAGAGATCTAGGAGGAAAACTAGGAAAGTGTGGTTTCACAGATCAAAAGATAGGCAAGGGTTCCCGTATCGAATGCCGCAGAGGCCAAAGACAACAAGACGAAGGTCTACTGGATTGAACAGAGGTTCTCGGCGACCTTGTTGAGAATTTCAGTGGAGTGGTAGTTGCAGAATCCAGAAGCTTGTTGAATAGAGAACCCATTGACTGCAGTTCCTGGGAAGGCAGGAGAGAGAACCTAGAGAACGAGCACGAAGAGATGGAACACAGGGAACTGGCAGAGATATGTGTCTCAGACAGGGGGGCACCTAATCTATTGTGACACCGTGAAAGAACGGGTGTGGAGATGAGTAGGCTTATGAGTGTGGAGGCATAAAATAAAGATGTTGGAGTTCCTTTTTTTTTTTTTTTTTTTTTTAGATGGAGTCTCGCTCTGTCGCCCAGGCTGGAGTACAGTGGCGTGATCTTGGCTCACTGCAACTTCTGCCTCCCAGGTTGAAGCGATTCTCTTGCCTCAGCCTCCCCAGTAGCTGGGATTATAGGTGCCCACCACCACACAGCTAATTTTGTATTTTTTTAGTACAGATGGAGTTTTACCATGTTGGCCAGAGTGGTCAGAGCCAACTAGGAACATAAGCGTTGCTTAGTCAAGTTGAAGGCCTCCTTGAGTTCGCACACTGTAAGTATGTGGTGGAAACCATCTACATGATCCAGAATTTCAGATCCGTTTTTTTAAAATCTGTTTCTGAGTCAGTAGGTTCAAGTTTAGGCTATATTTTATTAACAAATATAGTACAGTAAAAAGTGCAATAGAGAGATCTTAAAATCAATACAATTCTTTCCTCACGCTCTACGTAAAATCTGCAAAACACACGTATATACAGGTATATACACTATAGAACATCGGCTATTAAAGCTCCCTAGAGAAATATACAGGTATATACACTATAGAACATTGGCTATTAAAGCTCCCTAGAGAGATATACAGGTATATACACTATAGAACATTGGCTATTAAAGCTCCCTAGAGAGATATACAGGTATATACACTATAGAACATTGGCTATTAAAGCTCCCTAGAGAGATATACAGGTATATACACTATAGAACATTGGCTATTAAAGCTCCCTAGAGAGATATACAGGTATATACACTAAGAACATTGGCTATTAAAGCTCCCTAGAGAAATATACAGGTATATACACTATAGAACATTGGCTATTAAAGCTCCCTAGAGAAATATACAGGTATATACACTATAGAACATTGGCTATTAAAGCTCCCTAGAGAAATATACAGGTATATACACTATAGAACATTGGCTATTAAAGCTCCCTAGAGAAATATACAGGTATATACACTATAGAACATTGGCTATTAAAGCTCCCTAGAGAAATATACAGGTATATACACTATAGAACATTGGCTATTAAAGCTCCCTAGAGAAATATACAGGTATATACACTATAGAACATTGGCTATTAAAGCTCCCTACAGAGAAAGTTCCTCAGGATGTCATTACTTCATTGCCTGTAACACTCCATGTATCTTTCAATGAAAAGTAGTGAAGCTATCACAGTGTGGGGTGAAGTCAGTATGAGAGCATGAACAGACCTCAGGCAAGGGATTTAATGCTATTTATATCAGGAATTTATCCATTTTCATAGCAAAAAATAACACAATTCACCTCTTTCCTACCCATTAAAAAATCCCCCTCAAAGAAACATTACCAACAGAGACAGGAGGCAAAGATTTACTTTCTTTAGACGATTAGATTATGTTAACAAATGTATTTGCTTTAATTTTGGATTTTAAAATAATCTATATTTAGGTAATATTTATTAAGCATTGTCTAAGCACTGTGTTCATGTATTAGTCTATTTAACTCTTACCAAAACCGTATTAGATAAGTATTATCTCCGTTTACAGATGAGGAAACTAGATCACAGAAAAGTGTAAGTAACTTGTCCTTGATCGTAAACCTAATAAATGTAGAGTTGGGATTTGAACTCAGGCAGTCTGACTCCAGAGGCTATACATTTCCCCTACTTGCTACACTGCTTTTTCAAAACTAGAAATTTAACAACATTTTCCAAAGTAAAACATTCAGAAACTTAATGACTGGTTGCTCAGATGAGTTGCAACAGACTTTCTGAGCAGTTCAATAAAAACGCAGACTTACGAAATTGCATCTATCAAGATACAAAATAAGCTGCGTCTGTAAGTTTCCTTTCTTAAAAAAATTACTTGGAAATATTTCAAGTACATAGAACAATAAAGGAAATAATTACAAGTGAACACCCATGTGCCCTCTATTTAGCTTAATGTTTTGCCACATTTTCAAAATACTTCTGGTAGAAAAGAAACATCACAGATACAAACGAACCCCTCCTGTTACATTCCCTTCTCTTCCTCTCTGGAAGTAACCATTATTCTGAATTTGATATCTATGATTTCCTTATACGATGTTTAGTTTGTTCTTATTTTTTTTTTTTAATTATTAAACTTTTATTTACGGTATGCCACATACATCTTTCTGCAACTTGCCTTTCTTCCTCAATATTTTGTTAATGACCCTATCCATACGAAAAGTGGTCGATTTAGCTCCCTGATTTTCAGTTCTGGTGTTGGGTATGTCAATTTGTTCAGCAGTGACAGTGATTCACCCATTCTCCTGTTAGTGGACATTTACGGTTCCACTAAAACAAGCGTGCTGCTCTGAACTCTCTTGCACGTGCCCGTAACTTAAATACACATATACCTTTTTAACATGCGGTTACACAGGTACACATTTCTTTACCACGTAGTTAACAGGAAAAATAACACGTGTATCAAGAACACAACCAAGAGAGCCATTAGGTTCAAGAAACGTACAGAAGACCATAGGTTCCTCCGAGCGAAGCAAGGCTTTCACTCGCGGGCCCCTGGGGAAGGTCCCCACGACGAGCGACAGGCAGCGCAGATCAAACAATGGGAGCCCTTTATTACTCTTTCAGTTGCTGTTTCCTGTGCCCATTCATTTCCTCAGCTGGAGTGAGCCCCAACACCGAACCGGGCACCAACACCGAAGTGGCGGCAGAGTCCGCGGCGGGGGCCGACTTCCTGGCCGTGTGCCAGGCCCCCAGAGCGTGACAGCGCGAGGGAAGCGTGGGGGCAGCACGGCCTAACCTCACTTTTCACCCCGAATGTCACGGAAGCAGAGGAAACGCGCATGGATGGGGGCACAGACACCTGCCTCCGAGTGTCCACCCTCGCTCACAAAGCCGTCGGGTCAGTAGCTAGAAGCCGAGGGGCGGATGCGGCCCCCGCCCCGAGGCACTTTCTCAGTCGGCTTCTTACTGCCGCGCCTGTCCGCCTTACGCCAACTCCGTAAGGAGGCGCTGAGGCCCACCGGGCGGCTCCCGCAGCTCCAAAACTTGACGTGAGGCAGCGCGGGGCCGAACGGACAGCGGCCATCTTTAATTCGGGCAAGACCCCACCCTCGCACCCCACCGACCACTCCTTTGCAGCGTCCCCAGTATTTTCTCCAACAAATGGAGCGCAGTTAACCTCAGAGGCAGTGTTGAAGAAACACGCAGAGAAGCCCGAGTATCCATGGCCTCAGTGCTGCGAAATCCGGCCAATTTAAACATGGCGGCTAAACCCGAACAGCAAAACGTTGCTGACGCTAATGAAGTCATGCTCGAAACGGAGCGAGGCGGCGGGGCTGGGGAGGCGGTAATCTCGCGAGATGCAAGGCAGCCTCCGCTCGGCCCGGAAGCCTCGGCCGAGGGGGCGGGGGATGGAGGAGGGAGCGGGAGGCGGGTGAGAGCCAGTGGAGTCAGCCTGCTGTAGCTTGCGTAAGCAGGGCAGCGACGCCCGGCGGCTACGCCGCGGAATCGGCGTAGGCGCCTTTGGAGAATCGGCGGGCTGCGCTGCGCCTGGGCTGGTCGCGCAGGGGGGGAGGGGATGTCGGTCAGTGCGAGATCCGCTGCTGCTGAGGAGAGGAGCGTCAACAGCAGCACCATGGGTGAGTCTCAGCTTCGGGCCGCCGGGACTCGGGGTCAGCGGCTCCGAATTCCGGGAACCTCTGCGGCCGCTGGACCGAGCCGGGGAACGCCCTGAGGCGAGGCGGAGGCAGCGGCGAGGGGATCCGGGGTGGGGGCGACGGCGGGCCCGGGGCGCGGCGGCGGCGGCGGCGGCGGGCCCGGGGGGAGGGGAGGCGGCGGCGGTGACAGTTTGAATTGAAAGTGAGGAGAGCCGAGGCGGCGGCATTTCCTGTGCCGCGGCGGACCGGCCCCGGGCTCGGGGAGGAGAGCCGCGGCCTCCGCGGCCGGGGCAGCCTGAGCGGGGTGGTCTCAGCCCTGCCCCTGCCTCTTTCCGCCCCTTCGCCTTCCCTCGGCGTCCTCCCGCAGCCCCCTCGGCGGAGGGTCCCTCGTGGGGCAGTGGGCCCGGCGAGCAGGGGTGGGGACGAGTGTGAGCGCTCGGGCGAGGGTGCTGTGTGGGCCGGCCCGGGAGGGCGGCGGCGGGGAGGGAGGAAGGAGGATGCACCGGGCTGAGGCTGCGGTGGAGGCGGCGGCAGTGGCGGCTGGAGCGGCAGCTCCGGTCACCGCGTCGCCTCCCTGCTTCTCCCGCCTCTCGGGGTCGCCTCTCTCCAGGCGCAGCTCGGAAGGCCAGGGGATGGCGGGCGAGCCTTGAGAATGGAGAATCGGGAGTTTGGTGTGGGGTTTGGGCTGAATTTTTAGGAATAGGGGAGAGTGAATGTCTGGGAAGGGCGCCCCCCGGAGGAGATGGAAGGGGTGGGAGGGGTCCCCGGCAAAGGGAGGGAGTGGAGATGCGGAGTGGCGAGGTTTAGGGAAATGAATTTCTGGAAATACTTCAGTGTTCTTAGCTGTGCTTTTCAGGAGCCCTTTCATTTCCTCCCCCCCACTTATTGGAAGAACAGACCATTTCATTCACATTTTCCACTCCTGACTTCCCTTTCGGCTGTGTATATAGTAAGAAATAAGCAACTGAGATTTTTTAGGACATTTCCATTGCTAAGTTACTGTTTGAGAGTACACTGCTACAAATTTGGGTTTTTACAGTCCTAGGAAAGAATTTGTGACGTTCAGGTGTTTGCTTAGTTACTGAAATAATAACTGACTACATTCTTGAGAGGCTATTGCTAAATAGTTCAGCTTTAAGAATTCTTTCTTCTGGTTTTGTTATTTTGATGAAAGGGAAGAATATCTTAGTGCCTCTGAGAATCTTAATGAACAGATAACCTAGATCCACAAGCACTTAACCTGTTTTACATATTTATGAACATGCAGGTGATAAGTATAGTCAGTTTTCCCCCCTAAAATTTATGTGTAAGTTGGAGAGGAGAGTATTTCAGACTTCAATATACAGGTAGGGATGAAACTTGTGGAATCCTGATACACCGAAGTGGGAGATACAAACAATGACCAAGTCCGTTACTGCTGCTTGGATCCTTTAGTTCTTCAGACTGCAAGGGAAGGAGTAAGGGGTGGTTGGGTGGTTGTGGTGGAGTGGGGGAACGGAGGCAGGAGAGCAATAAACCATCTTTCATCCCATTCATCTGTTCAGTTGAGTGAAGCTATGAAATAAATGTGGAAGCTACACAGGTGATTTGTATGATAGCATTGTGTTATTCTGTGATGGGACAACATGATGGAGCCAGGTTTTAATACAGTTATTAAAGATACCGCAGGTGTTTTTAGGCTTACAGAAGTCAAGTTCACAACAAATGACAAATTTATGTTAAGTTGGTTTGAATTAGTTCTTTTCAAAAGGAAGGATATTGTCCTTTTTCTAATGTAGCTTAATAATTTTTGTTGTAGGCTTCGGTTTGGAAATATTTGACACATACATAATACATGAAAGGTAGTATAAAAGATTATATTTCAGAAGTTTGTGATAAAATTGGTTGTTCGGATTTGCACATTTTCCCATATAAGTAATTTTAAGTAAATCCATACCGGAACTTCTGTGCAAGTCTAAGGCAAGTTAGGACTCCTTGCAGACCCTAGGGGAATTTAGAGGAATATGCTAGAACAACAGCAGCAGCAAAGCATGGGGGAAAGAGGGAGGAAGAAGAGTTAGATCTCTGGCTTCTAAGGTCTCAGTAATGGAGAGCGATCAGATGAGGGGACCGGTCATAATTAAGGATAGTGGAAGAGCAGATGAGTTTCAGACTTATCATAATTTGATGATATACATATTTATTGTAGACTGTGTTCTGGGAATTGCCGATTCTTACCTGACTAAATTGCCTGCTGAGAAATGTGTTTCACATTTTGACTTGATAAGCTATCTTCAATTTTTGATTAGAAGTTGAACATTTTAAACTAATTTATGTATTTTACTAAGTTTTGAGACAAAACTTTTTGTGTGTTTTTCTTCTGTACTAAGTTTGGACTGTAAAGACATAAACTTTATTATGTAATAGTAACAAGAAAAATTATGTTTTTAAGGAGTATAATTTTAAGGTAGTTTGATTATGGGTTTAGTTTGCTAGATGAGAACATACTGTTAATGTAAACCTTTGAGCTGTACAGCAGTGTTTTGAAGGCTGCAGGTTGTGACCCATTAGTGGGTCTTGAAATAATTTTGTGAATTTTTACTAATATTTAAGAAGAGAAAGTAAATATTGCCATTGAAAGTATTGGCAAAAACCGCAATTACTTTTGCACCAAAATAGGACGTTGCACTTAATACGAATTTTTTTGAGGGAAGTTAAATTTTCTTTCAGATATTGTGTACCGGGTTGGGATATAATTTTTTTAAAGGATTCTGGTCAAAATATGCAGTATGGATGAGTCATATCTAAAGTCTTTGAAACTTACGTTAGGGGTTGGAGGTCTTGGTGTGAGGAAGACTTTAAAATTGAAGACTATTAAGTCCATGTGGCTTTTTTTTTGTTTTGGATTCATTTATTCTGTACTCCATGTAGCTAGCATGATTAGAGAGATCTGGGGCCTACTCCTATTTGAGAGGATATTATCCCCCATAGCCAGAAACCAGGGTGGCTTCCAAAAAAGAAAAGAGTAGCATTCAGTGACTCTGCTTCTAGGCCTTGAGGATGAATCTTTTCTTTGTTTTTGTCTTCCTGTGTCCTTTTGCATCATCAGAGATCTGGAGACTAAACTTTGAGCATGGGCTTGGGGAAGAGGGGTCAAAGAGGCAGCTTGGCTGGCTTTTAGTGTTGAAGGCCTTAGGCCAGACGTACTAAGACCTTGTGACTTACACTTGGTGCATTCCAGCTATCCAGATGTAGGGATTACACATTGGAGTTTCAGTTCAAAATCTTAACAGTAATGATTAAGAACATGGGCTTTGTTGTTAGATATGGTTTCAAATCTTGGCTTTGCTACTCACTAGATGTATCAGTCAGAGTAGGTTAGATTATAATTTTAAAAAGTACAGTTATGCATTGTTAATAATAGGGATACATTGAGATGTAGAGTACCTATACAAACCTAGATGGTAAAGCTTACTACACACTTGGGCTATATCCTATTGCTTCTAGGCTATGAGCTTGTACAGCTTGTTATTGTACTCACTACTGTAGACAGTTATGACACAATGGTAATGGTAAGTTTTTTTTTTTTTTTTTTTTTTTTGAGATGGAATTTCGCTTTTGCCTCCCAGGCTGGAATGCAATGGCGGTATCTTGGCTCACTGCAACCTCTGCCTCCTGGGTTCAAGCAATTCACCTGCCTCAGCCTCCTGAGTAGCTGGGATTATAGGCTCTTGCTAATTTTGTATTTTTAGTAGAGATGGGTTTCACCTTGTTGGCCAGGCTGGTCTCGAACTCTTGACCTCAACTGATCCTCCTGCCTTGGCCTCCCAAAGTGCTTTGATTACAGGACCGAGCCATCGCACCCAGCCAAGTGTTTGTGTTTCTAATCATAGAAAAGATGATGTTCTGTGCTATGAACGTGTGACTGCTATGATATCACAGGTGATATGAATTTTTTTGGCTCCATTGTAATCTTATGGGCCCACTGTCATAAGTGTGGTCCATTATTGACCAAAACATTGTTATGTAGTGCATGATTATACTGCAGATAAAAAAAAAAGTGGAAATGGAATAAGAAAGAGAAATTATAAGCCCCAGTTTTTTATTATTAATTTCAATAGATGTAAATTATTCTGCAGTTAAAATTTCCAATTTTTTGTGCTCTCAATTTCTATGTTTCTGTGACTTAAACTGATAATTCACAGACCAGCTCACTGGTCCACAGACTGTACTCTGCATAGCACTATGTTAGACTGTGTGGTAGCAACAAACAGATTGTCATGCTAAAGTTTATGTACAACATTATATTTTAGGCCAGTGTTAACTTTAAATATACTGTACTTTGAAAGCTGAGGAGAATATATAAATACCCCGTTATTGGGGGGGATAGCCTGAAGCTTCTTCTGCTTACATTACTTTCAAGTTTTTTAAGTCTTAGGTATTCATGTGTCATTTGCATTTTATTCTGTGTTTGCTTTATGTAAAATACAAAGATGATATCCTTCCTACTTCCCCACTATTCTGGAAGTAAAAATGGACTTTCCTGAAGTTGTAACATGTTAATTCTGTTGTTTTGTTTAACCCTGGGTCACAACTGACTACTTTTGGTAGCTTCATTGGAGGTGAGACTCCAGGTTAGAGTTTCTCATTTGAGGTTTTACAATTATTTGAGGGAGGGGAGGGCTGTCTTTTATAATTATCTGGGGGAGAGGAGGGCAGAATATTTACCAGCATCCCTGCTATCATTGTGCTAAGATAGCAGTAGCACATGCTCTCTCTGGTTGTAAAATGAAAAAATGTCTGCAGAGATTGCCAAATGTCACCTGGGGGAGAAGAATCATCCATGGTTGAGAACCACTGCAATTATGTGATGGAGAGCTATTGAAGGATTGTAGGAGATGGGGAAGAAGGAACAAGCTTTCTTAACCGTCTTACTCCTTAGTTTTTCCTCCTGGAACTCCTATCACTTAATATTCTTACTACTTTTTTTTTTTTGAGACCGC